CCTTTCCAACCCTAACCATTCTAGGGTTCTGTGATTTGTGAAACAAAACCCTCTGAGCTGATAACCTTTCTGTGTTAAGGCACTTACATTGGAAGCACATGCAGCAGTAGGTGCATCGCAGTGTGTAGCAGTGCTTTCCATCCATTAAAGCATGTTAAGGCTGTTGTTAAATACTAGTAGTTTTTCTAGTACTTTGGAGTGCAGAAGATGTTGATCTCTTTAAAGAAGCTAGATTTATGTATGGTGGTGTGTTCTTCTGTGCTAAGTACTAACTCTCTTTCTCTTTAGCAATGGGCTACTTTTGCCAGAGCCTGGTATCTCCTCGATGCAAAGATGCAGCCACCAGGAAAAATAGCAGCTGCAACTGTAATCAGACTTGAAGGCAGGCATAAACCTATTTACCATGCACTAAGTGAGTATTACAGTAGATAAAAGCAAATTTGCTTTCCTACACATTTATTTTTCTTTTGATTTCAGTTTTAAAATCAAGATAGATATATAAAGTTATATTTTTTATTTGTTTGTAGATTATGAATGTAATTGTTTTCCTTCTCATCTTTTGGCCTCATACTCCTCTAAGTTCTCTGTTGTTGTCCTTACCAATTTACATAGAGCTTGTTAGGAATCTGTAATTTATTTTTAGTAGCTGAATTACAGTGGGTTGTGCTTCCATTTTTTAAAACCTTGACGTGTTTTGTTGCACTGATTTTAAATGACAAAATTTAATTCACAGTGCACGTAATGAAACACTGAGGTGATTCTTGATTAGATTTGCTGAACGTTACCTTTCAGTAACTGCACACCACCACAGTCTTGGAGTGTTTCTTCTTTCCGAATAAGGCACAGAGAAGTCCTGCCTTCATGAGGGCAGAGGATGGGCACAAACTAAGACACAGGAGGTTCCCCCTGAACATCAGGAAGCATCAGGACATGGTTGCTCAATAGGTTGTGGAGTCTTCATCCTTGGAGATATTCAAAAGGTGGCCCTGCTTGAGCAGGAGGGTTGGACAACGTGACCAGCAGAAGTCCCTTCCAGCCTCAGGCATTCTGCTGTCATGGGGCTGGAATCTGTCTGATTTTTAAATGGGAGACATAATTGTTGTTGAAAGATATCTTCTTGTTAAAATTAAAAAATCATTTTGCTTCTCTGCATCAGCAGTAAGGATGTATCTGTGATCTTGTTCCTTATTGGTAATACTGCTGGTAGGTTTCCTGTAATACTCGGGCAAAATTTTCAAGAGACATTACTGAAGCATAAAGGAAGCATTAAACTTTGCTAACGCATGTAGAGTGTACATTCTGAAATTATACTTGATCTGTTTTTCATAATAGAAGGTAGTATGTGTAGTGTTCTAAAGATGGTTTAATTACCAGAGTTTTGCTGTTGCAAATTACGTTTTGTCCACGAGATGTCACTGGAGACTAAGGCTGTGTGAAAAATAAAGCAGACACTGAGAGGAAATGGTTTTGGTTGTCCTGTGGGAAAGATCTTGGATACTTTTTATGTCCACGAAGTTATAAAATCCTAGAAAGTAATTTCAAGGGTAACTTTGTTTGGTCTAAAGTATTCTCTAAATTAGTACTAAATGCATTACACCTGAGATTGACATTGATACATTACTACTTCTAATGAGAGACACTTGATACTCTTTTAGAGCACAGTATGCATGAATGTGTGGTTGGTGTACTTAACACTGCTTTTTTCTTTCTTTCTTTCTTTCTTCTTTTTTTTTCTCCCTGAACTAACAAGAAATATTTTACTGTCTGTGAGATAACAGTTCCTTAGTCAGAACAACACTGTAGGGGTGTTTTAGTTTGGTTTTAATTTGGTATCCATATACCCTTCCTTAAAATCATTAATTTATTTACTGTGTTGAAACGTGTCTGGAGTTGATTCTAAGCTGTGTTTAGGAAAGGAATGAAATTTGATTTAATGAATATTCATTTTCTGGTTTAGGAATAATCTTTCATTATTCTCCAGAGTCTCATATTTTTAGATGCTGTAGGACCCTATGCCTTCGATAAAGGGAAACAACCTTATTGAGGAGGTTAGAATGTGGATTTTTAGGTTTCTCCTGCACCTCCCCTTCTCACTTCCCTCATCCCCTTGCATCCTATCTTTGTGAGCAGCTTCCCAATACAGAATCAAAAATAGGGGGCCAGATTTTTGAAACATTGGGCAATGTGGTTCTTTGGATTGAGAACAGGTGTAGGTGAGCCATTCTGTTGCTTGGGTAGGACTTGCTTGGGTAGGACTTGCTGTGGTTCTCTGCATCCTCAGAGGAGAAAACTAGGCTAGATGGAAGTGTCCCACCAACCTGATCTGAGGCAGGTGTTACTCTAGATTACAATTTTAATTTATAATGGCTGGAAGAAGCAGCAAACACTTGTCTTCTAATGAAAGAATTGGGAAGTATTTTGTCGGTCTTGTGAGCTAACAGTCGACAGTATGGGGCCTGCTTTTAATTACCATTTAGTCCTTAATTGAAGTGTAGGTAGAAAAATGCATGTGCCTGAGGCATGGCTTTTTTTCCTGTTGTTTTCCTACTCCTGTGCAGTAGCAATTAATGAAGTTATGAATGTACAGAGAGAGCAAATGGATTTACTATGGCAGCTTACTTTTAACTGAAGAGCCACAGTGTATGCGCGATATCTAACAAACTGCACATGCCTGAATGGGATAGAATATACTGGCCTTGGTTTTGTGATTTCTGGAGTAAAACATACCTAACAAAAGAATAATTTGATATTAGAGCATGAAAATAACCTAAAAGAACAGTTCCTTCCATGATATTTTGTGAATATTTTTCAAAAGCAGGATACATTTTGGCTGTTGGTGGACATGTAGAATATTTCTGCTTTCTTCCTGTCAAGCGTAGCCATCCCTGAGGTGGTGAGGACATCACTATTGAAAGGCCAGTGGAAAATAACATATTAATCTGAAATGTCAAAGGAGACATTAGCTGTCCATAGATTAATCTACTTTAAAAAGAACAGGTTGTAGTAATTGACTGAGTAGTGTGTAACTATCCTTCCTGTTTGGTTTTAATCCTGACTGTTAATTGTTTGTAACTATCTATTGGTGTATGAAATTGCTAATTCAGTGTTGATTCAAGTGGAGAACTGTTGGCAAAAATTTCCTTAGATAATCGTATTCTGTCATCTTTTGCCCCCCATTAAAAAAAGGCACAACATCCAATGACAGTTCCATGGCATTTATTTAGACACACAGTGTTTTTAGAACTGGTCTGTCAGCGGTGAAAGGCTGCACCAGTGAAGACATTTGAATTGTGTTTGCACTTCAGCTGTAGTTGCAAGTAGAGCTTTTAAAGAACACAAGATTAAGAAATGATAGAAAACTTACATAGGGTGGGAAACTTGTATTAATTATATGCTCCTGTAAAAAACTGCATGCTCAATTCAAGTCTTTTTTTAGTGCACTGCTTTGTTACATACTAAAAATTTATATAATCAAGCCTCTTCAAATACTTACCTTGTTCTAATGTGGTAATTCATATGAGAGTGATCTTTGGGCAAATCATTTTCCAAGTGATTGAATGGGTGGTTATAGTTTACATAGCTGATCACTTCTGAAATGAAAAACTACGTGGTTTTTCATATTTTCCTCATATTTTTGAGGTAGTATGGGTTTTATTAGCAATTTATTAGTAAGAAAGATCTGGTTTTGGCAAGGTATTGGTGATAGATAATAGCCTTTGCACTTAAAAAACTGTTGATGTGAAAGTTGCTGTTAGAACATTAAACGTGTGTATGTGCTGTAACATTCACTTTGCTTGATTGATGAAAAAGAGAAAAACAGGATTTTTGTGGGTCTTTTCTCCCTGCTGCCCCACCCCCAATCTTTTAATTTCTTTTATATATTAACCCCTAGGCTGTGATTATTTAATAGCATTATTTTACTTATGCAAAATATTCAGTCCTCCAATAAACTTTGGTACTACTTTTATGAGAAAAGCAAAATTAAACAAATATTTAATATCGTCGTTTAGAACTAACCTTTTTTTTGTTCTGGGATATTTTCTTTAAATATAGGTGCATATGCAACATATTATGTTGAATGAAGTAATGCACTTGCCTGTAAGCCAGATTTCCAGATCTTAGCTGAATAATTGCAATGGTTTAATTATCTAGTCTGATGGTATTTTACCTGCTCACCTGTCTTCTAACCTGACAGTAGTAATAAAAATAGTAATTAAGGTTGGTATTTAAGTTCAGGTTTGGATGGTGTGACTCGGAAAGCTCAGATCTTTGAATCTGAGCTTTAGGAAATGTATATATATGTGCTTCTATGTATGTATTGCACACTTGATAGCTGTTATTTTGGTTGGTTATTCATGGTTCTTTCATTATTTTCCACTAATTTCTACTTTGTAGGTGACTGTGGAGATCATGTTGTCATAATAAATACAAAACATATTGCCTTCTCTGGCAACAAGTGGGAACAGAAAGTATATTCTTCTCATACTGGGTAAGTTTTATAATAAGTACTCAAATGAGCTAGTGGTAAATTTAATATCATGTTTCCTTAATAGTTAAAGTCTTTTTTCGCATATTGGTTCAAAAGGGAATTCCTACTACGTTTTGTTTTGGTTTTGCATGTGTTACGCTGTTTGAAATGATGCAATCCTTTTTTTCCCTATTTTTTCCTCTTCCCCCCTCCTCCCCCCACCCCGGTGTATGTTGTTAGGGAAATAATTTAACTCAAAAGTAGTCAGAGCAATTGAGTAAGCTGTTCTGTGTGAACCCATGACCCCAGTGATTAGGACTATTCTGTTTTCTAAGCAGTAGAAGACATTCCTATTGGCACTGCACATTTAAGATATATACAGTTGCCAACTTTAATGACTTCATCCTACCATTGGCTGTTTACCTGACAATAAATAACTAGATTGATATATTATTGAATCAGAGTATGAAAAAAAAAAAGGAATTGGAAAGTCTGGTAAGAAGTGAGATGCTCTCAAGCTTCACTGATGTACACAATAGTATATTGTTCTGGCATACCTAACTTGTTTACAGATGGAAGTGCAGTAATCAGTTACAGACAGTATGGCAATGATCAGTTCAGTCATCTGAGAACAGTTGTTCTGGTTTTATATAGTGACAACACAGATAGGAATCTATAAATGTTAAAATGTATCCTGTTGGGAGATTAATAAATCACACTGAGAAAGCTAATTTTGCTAGCACTGGTGCTTCTATCCTGAAATTCCTTTGCTGAAGAGTTCTTGTTTAGAGTTGATGGAAATTAATGCTTTTTTATTCTTCTCCCACCCCTATGACCTCAGAAATCATGACTAAAAACTTCTGTGTAAGTTAAAGCACTTGAGTAAGTGGCTAAGTTGATTTTGAGTAAGTGCAAAGAATTGTACAATTAAATACTTAAATCTCTGCAGCTTCCTCAGCAGACGTGTTTTAATGATGTTGGGTTTATTTGCATTTCCCTTCGGTTCATACCTAGGAATGTAGTTAGATCAAAAGGAACCCAGCTTTACCTGGCATCCGTGTATTTCTTGCATCACACTCTCATTCATTCAGAGTATCTGCCCAGATGTGAATTCATGCAGCTTCACCATATCACATAGACTTAAAAAGGTGGATGCATTGCAGTCAAAGTCAAATTTTATCACTGTAGTATGCCATATCACCCTCAGGTTTATTTACAAGGGTCAGAAAATAATACCTACTTCACAATGGTTGTCTTGTATGTCAGCCACAGATTGCTTGGGAGTTTGGGTCGTTCTGAAATATTTCCAAATTTGTTTTACGTGTCTTACTCCCACTGCATTCTCTAGCTGTGATGGTGTGTTTAATAAGCAGTTTTAAAAAAATACCCATCCGCTTGTGAAACTCAAACTTTTTATTAGTCACATGAATAAATGAGAAAGTAAAAAGGGTGTTAAACATAGATGCTTGACAGGGTAGAATCTTTCAAATACAATATAGTTGGTGGCCTCGTGAGAACAGGTTCCTTTTTTGAAGGCTTACAGTACCATTACACTGTTGTTCAAGATGTAGTGATATTTGTGTTAACATCATAGAATTGTTGAGGTTGGAAAAGACCTCTTAAGATCAACTCCAACCATGAATAGAGCACTGCCGAGTCCACCCCTAAACCATGTCCCTAAGCACCCCATCTACAGGCTGTTTAAATACCTCCAGGGACGCTGACTCCACCACCTCCCTGGGCAGCCTGTTCCAGTGCTTGCCAACCCTTTTGAGAAAGAAATTTTGCCTAATACCCAGTCTAAATATATGCTTGAGCTTGTATTATATTGTGTTAAGCTTGTATGTTTGTTCTGTTTTTCTAGCTATCCTGGTGGTTTCAAACAAGTGACAGCAGCTCAGCTCCATGTGAAGGATCCAACCGCTGTAAGTGTGTCACCTTCTTCCCTTTTATTTGTAAAGCTGATTTGTTTTCATGTAATTAGTTCCCCTAAACAAAAGGGGTCAGTTACCTGCGTGTCTGCAGCTACAAACATTCTGCTGACTTAGAAGCTTGGCTTGGGACAGCGTTTTTGTAAACAGCGTGTTTTGATTGTAGGTTGTGCATTTTCCTGATTCTTCTGTGCTGTCCAAGTGAGCTAATCCAATTCATTTGCTTCACTCATTTTTGACTGATTCCCTCACTTAATCTCAGAGGTCTGACCTTTCTCATAAGCAAACTGCCCCAAGTTAGACTGAGCTAAGCTGTATGTCAGCGTCATGACCCTACTACTTCTTTAAGAGCCAGCAAGAATAATGCTGATCTTCAGAAGGTTAGGAAGTACACCTGCCTCTTTCTCCCTGTAAAAGTCAACTGTAGGTTTTGTTAAATGTTGGGGTTTTTTTTAAATCTTTCCTGCAGTGCTGTATGTTCATGGTCTGTGAATGAACTGGAAATGGTGATTACGTTGAACTTAAGCCTCTTTACTAAATGTATGTATTAGACATGTATTAATTCTGTTGAACATCAGCGTTGATGTGTTTGTTACCGTTTAAGAAATTAAGGTGCTAGATAGCATTTGGGATGTTGGCTTAGAGTTCTGAAATTACTTTTGTGAGAGGTTTGAACAGTCAGCATTGGAGGACTGAGTTCTCCTGAGTACTCAACTTTCGGAACATGATATGAGGCCCACTGAGATTAGCAGATATGTATGGGGCTTTTTGACTTTGAAATGCTTTGGCGTGGGTCACCTTATATATAAAATACAAAAATTCTTCTTCCTTTTCCTAGAGCAGTTTTATCTGCTGTAAAATTCTTGGGTTTTGTCAATGAATTTTTTTTTTTAATCTGTGATACAGAAATCCTGTTTTTTCCCAAGACTGTCACGCAAGATGTTGTACAAGTATTCAACAAAAGGGTGGTCTGCCATATAAATTCACCTAATTTTCATTTTCACTGTTGCAATTTCTTTCTTTGAATAGTGAAACGAAATCCCACAGTTCAATACTATTTTCTGACTAGAATTTTTCAGAACAGCTTAAATGCTTTTGAGAACGGGCTCTAAGATAGTTGCAATCCCTTTGGGATTTCTTGGTAGTTCCAAGTCTAAAATGGATTCTTCAACCTTTTCTCAGCGCTGTGCACTGGGAGGCACTGTAACACAACTTGCTTGCTAGGGCCTGAGAGCTGGGTGTTCTATAAATTACCTTCTGGCATTCGTCCTGAAATACCTCTTTTCTTGCCAGACTCATAGATGAATTTCTGTGCAAACAGAGGAGGATTAAATGCGTTGCCAATAACTAAAGCCTGTTGGACAGAGGCTCAGCAAATGGTGATGTGGCTCAAGGCTTGGTCTAATTTAGCGAGAGAAACTTTTTTAAACAGAATTGTGGAGAGCCCTCAGCAATTAACTCTTTCATTCTATTGAAGATGAATTGTATCTCTTGCAGATCTCGTGTATTCTTGTCATCATTAATAGGAGTGGATGGTAATTTGGCATGACATACCCTGTATGTGTAGCTGTTAGAGATTTCGACTTGCAAGTGATTTTACGGCTAGAAACACTTATTTACTAGTTGAATTGTTTTGGTGTGAAATACACTGGGATATGACAACGATGGAATTTATAATGGTTTTATTACTAGAACAAAGGAAACTTTTATAAATCACTTTATTTCACTTCTTTGAATTAAAAAGACTTTTTCTCTTTTAATCATGTTAAATTCAATTCCTGTGAAGCCAGTGGAATTAGGTAGGTTGTAGGAAGCAGACCATATCTTTCTGTGGAATCGAAGCCTTCATGCTGTAAAGCTTTGTCTCCAGCCCGGAGGCTGCTGCTTTTTCTCTGCTCTTAGTCCTGTTGTCTCCTCCTAGCTCATCCTGGTACTACTTCATTAGATGAGGCAACATTATTTTTGGAAATAGTGCTGTTACAGAAATTAAGGCATTAGATTAATGGAAGAGACTACTTCCAAGGAAAAGGAAGTTGACATAACATGTTGTAAACTTTTGCAGCCTTACGTAGAGATTTTGCAATGGATACGACTGTTTTCAGTTTATGTAAGAAATAGAAAATCTTACAAGCTTTAATCTGTGTGTATGTGTATAGTAGGACTGCAACTCTGGTTAACACTGTCTTTGCTTGTGTATGTCTGAATTCAAACAGACAAATCCCCAAGATAAATATTTTGCCATTACAGTTTTGTTTAAGCAGTTTCTAGTACACAGAGAGACTGGTTTTAGAAAAAAACTGGTACACAGTTAATAGCTAATTAAAAAGGTTATATTCAATGCAAAATGGTGTCGTTTATGTTTACATGGAAGGCTGAAAGCCATACATATGGTTGTCAGAATTAAGACATGTTTACTGCGGTATGGTTAGGCAATCATCTGTGATCACTCCTGGTTCCAAGATAGGGACGGATGATGATCTTAATGTCTCACTTAACGGAGGTTGACATCATTGTATCATCTTACTTAGTCCTTGCAGGTAGTAGTTGATGCTTCAGAAGGATTTGTGCTGAATTTTGAATGTGCACATGCGTTTTTCTGTCGAACCATAGGGTGATTCAGGTTGGAGAGGACCTTGGGATGTCTCTTGTCAAACCTGCTGCTCGACGGACTGTCAGCTATTAGGTCCGAGAAGGCGGCTAGGGGACCTGTGTAGACTGGTCTTGACAGCCTCCCATGGCAACCATTTCCAAGCCTTGACTTCTGTTCTTAGTTTGAAAGAATAAAACACAATTGTGCCTAAGATTTTAATTTCAGATGTATAATTTTGTGCCCAAGACTGACAAACTATTACTATTTTTTTCCACTTCTAAGTATCTTTTATGTTAATACAGGGCAGTGAATACAGAAATAGGTCTGCATAGTTGACTTTTTTGTATGGAACTTCAAAATTCCATGTTCATTGTGCCAAGTTTTTCAGTGCTTTGGAAAAATTTGGTTTTATGGAAGGGTAAAAATTACAGCGTGTTGCCAAAAAGATATCAAAAGTAAATAGTCTAGCACATTTTTACCTTTAGCACCTTTGAGTTCCTTTGAGAGGCATGGGGAGTGTCTGTGGATCTGTTTAAAATTTCTAGTATTTTCAGTTGCCTGCTGTCTTAGGGAATAGCAGAGAATACCTCTCATCTGTTGGACTTGGCCTGGTTGCTTCAGGAAGGGCTTATTGAAGAAGAAAAGAGCTTCTTCACAGTTCAGCTTTTTCTTTCTCTGGCTTCAATTTAGTGTAAATTCTTGGACCACCCGTAGATGAGGGTTTTAAGTATGTTCTTTAGGTGCAGCATAACATGTCACTGTAGTTTGAAACAACCTCTCTGTTCTTCAGCTTGATGCAATGCTCATATTCTGTATGGTATGACTACTCCCTTAGGACATAGATTAGTGGGCAACATTTAATTTCTGGTGTGTTTTCTTTGCCAAGGGAGTCTTTTGAAAACAAAGGAAACAGGTAAACTTTTTGACATGCAGGTGTTTGTTTTTAATGAAATATACAGAAGTTTTGTTTAGCTGGAAAGTGCAAGTGGAAGAAGGCATGAGACCAACACTTTTAAACTTAGGCTTGGAAGTACTTGCTACAGGAAGACTAAAAGATGTGCTTTAAAATCTCACAGATTTGAGAGGGAGCAAAGATAACTTAGAAAAATTTTTCTGGAAAAAATCTTAGGTCTTTTTAATTAAAATGCCTGTGAAATATCTTGACAGATCTAATCTGTAGAACCAGGTGGTTTTCAATCAATTTTTATTCCACTTCTAATTTTAAAAGTTAGCCAAACGTGGCTTACTTTGGGTTTTTTTGCTGCATCAGAAACACCCCCACAGCAAATGCTCGGTGAGAGAATTGACCTTTGCAGTATTCAGGGGCTGTATTGCCTCTGACAACGAAATAATGGGCAATAATTGTTCGCACTGAATATTACCTGCTAGGGAAGGTTATTAAGCCAGGCAGGAGATCTCTCTGGAAATACGCTGGGAGGAAGCCTCCGGGGGTGTCAGGGTTCTGGTTTGCTCAGCTGCTGGCACTGATACGAAGGGGTTTAAAATGTTCTAATTCTCCTTTTGAATGCTCTTTAGCAACTGCTTGCACGTACAGGCATGACATTTTATCTGCATAATAATGACCTTTTGAAGAAAAGCTCGGGCAGAAAACATGGTTAAATCTTGCTGGTGGTATTGGAAAGCCCATTTTCTTTGCATCAGTAAGGGGTGGTTGATATAATAATCCATACAATCAGTTACTGAAACACCAGTTGTAATAGCATTTTCTTTTTTTATTATGGAGTAATGATTTTTAATTAAGTAGAGGAAAACTTCAAAGTCTGGATTAGTAGGCACTCAGAAGTTAGTATGGCATGGGGAAGAGAATATTGTTATGGATCCTGTTATCTTAAAACATATGGGTGCTCTAAATAAGTCTTGGAGCTGGCTTGGTCCTTTGCTTCGTAGTAGTAGACAAAAATAAATACTTTGGAAAAACCCTTAATACATTTCTTATTTGAATTTGCAAGGCAAATTTAATGTATTAATTTAAAGAACACATTAAACTTCCAAGTTTTTAAGTGTTGGAGAGTAGTGGAAGGAAAATTGGTGTGCGATGGAAGTTTAATTTGTCTGTGACCAAATGGTTCTTATGGCAGTATTCAGAACAGTCACTGCTGCTGTACTACTCGTACAACTGTCAGAGGTGGAAAAGTGAAGTTCTTTTCTTTTATAGCTTTTATGGCTTATGTGGTGAAAAGAACAATATTGTGTACAGAACAAAATTGAGAACTGGTAGAAGGAAGACTTGGTGTCAAGTTGTACCTCCGTTTAACTGCTGAATGTCCTGAAATTCTTCTAGGGTTTTTTTCTTATGCCCTGTAATTAATCACTTTGTTTTCTCTGGAGCACTAGGTCCTTCCCATGTTCTAGAGTTGTTTCCTGGTGATTATTGGACTTAATT